ATGCCAGACAGAAAGCAGAGAGTTAAGGGAGAAAGAACCTTTCAGATCACGCCCCCCCCCCCAGTGTCCAGCATCTTCTGATCAGGCCCTGTCTCCTAACAACAAGTCAGCTCTCAGGCCCCATAATCAAATCACCTCTAAAAGCCCTGCCTATGAGCACATGAGGCTCCTGGGGGCATGTGCAGATATAAAACTTAACAAATTCTTAAGCAAGTAGAAGATACCATCATCACGAGATAGAAACAATAGGCTATGGAAAAGGCAAACAACAAGCTCTTGAAAATTAAAAACTGAATAAAGAGAACTGGCAGTTTCTGGTCTGGCATATCGAGAGCTTGGAAGTTGCTAGTCTGTCGTAATAGGCAACAAAAAGCTGAACTAGCCGGGAAAAAAAAGAAAGAGAGAGAGAGAGAGAGAGAGAGAGAGAGGGAAAGAAAACACACACACAATTGTACTTAGATTGGTCAGGGAATGAAAGTCACAGGAAGAACTGCTCTCCCCAAAATTGGAGAGAAAGACAGCAAATACAGACAGTTACAACTTATTTAATCACAATTCTCCATGGGGACCAAGGCTCATTTTATTCTATTGCTTTGTTGTTGCGTCTACTTTAAGATATTTGCACCTATTTTAAGAAGTATAGTGCCCATAGGTTTGAATTTAGGCTGCCATCTCCACCTACTTTAGGCAGTCAAGTTAACATGGCCGCATAGAACAGTGAACTTGGAATTTTCCTTCTTTGTGGAGATAATTCAGAAGAATCAGGAACCAACAGTAAAATCACCTGGACTGACTTCTTTTTTTAAAAAAGCAGACTTTTAACATGACTCTCCTCTTTTTAGTTTTTCAATTTTAATAATGTCCTCTCACCTTCTGTAGTTCATCAACTGATGTTATCAATTTAACTATTTTTAAGAAATAATCCATTTCCTTTGAGTCTTCAAATCTCTTCACAAAAAGCTGGATATCCTTCATAGACTCCATCCATTTAATAAAATCTAAGTTGCTACTGACTGTCACACCATTTTTATACAAATCATGAAGAAATAATCTAAGTTGATGGCTGACAGTTTATCTGTAGCAAATGTGCTTTCGAGTGTTCATTTTTTAAATAGCTGAAGATCTTTTGTTTAAGCTTCTTGAGATATTTGTGCAACGACATGTTCACACACACATGAAACAGAAAACATACTGGCTGAGACGTTCCTAAGATGACTTCCCATCAGGGGCTGCTGCTCTGAGTCACTTCTGGAAACAGATCTCTTATCTCTGTGACACTTCTCTTGGCTCCATTCCTCTTCTCCTCTGCAAATGCTCTCAGCCACTGGATTTTTCTCAGAAAGACATCTGGTCTTGGAGTCCAGAATCCCACCGGTACCATGCCCCAACAGAGATATGCCAAACAACAGAAGGAAAACTCAAGCTCTTTGACTGAGTTGTCCTCCTAATGCCCAGC